GGAGCAGAGCAAGAAGGGGCAATGAGGACAAGGTCAGGGTGGTCAGGGATTCGATAGAATCCTGCCAGCAACTGTAAGGACCTGAACTTTCATTCTGATCTGGAGATCCACTGTAGACCCTTCAACCAAGAAAGGATTAGCATGACCTAATGTATCTATCCCTGGGGGTGCCAAGATGATAGAGAGGTAAGGGGAGAAGGGGACCCGCCAGCTGGCTGAATTCTCCTGCGGAGGGGCTTGGTGGGACTCAGGAAGTGAGGGCTGGAGGGAGAAATGAGCTGAAATAATGTGAAGATAGAAAACACCCAATTTGCTGATGAATGTCTGTAAGAGAAAGAGAGGCTCTTGGGACAACGGGCGGGCGGTCGGGAGGCACCACCTCGGTTCTGTCAAAGCCTTGTGGGAACGAGGAGGGCCTGTCTGCCAGTTCCAGTCGGGGCTTTCACAAGAAAAGACCAAGAAGCAATAGATGGGCATGGGGAACAGGAGCTCAGGGGCCCTTTGGCTTTCGAAGCTACCTGCCAAGCACTGAACTTCAAAGAAAGAGACAGGAAAGGCAGAATTGAAAGCACAGAAAGAGACTTGAAAAGACTTGTTTTCAAGTTTCTGCTCTCCTACCTCTCTCTCTCTCTCTCTCTCTCTCTCTCTCTCTCTCTCTCTCTCTCTCTCTCTCTCTTTTTCTCCTCTCCAAGTGACTGGCTCCCTTTACATCTGTCTCTTTCTTGGCTTTGTTTTTTTCCTGTATTGCTGATGCTCAGGCTGCTGTGACAGTCTGGATCTAATCTGATCACAAGCCCAAAGGGTCCCTTTTGACACTCGCCTATTATAGGCTTGGTGGGGGGGAAACGTGAAGGGATGTCCAAAGGAGCTGTTTTAATTAATTAACAGCAGGACAGAAGCCAAGTTTACTTCCCTTGACTGAACGGACCTCTAGGTTGCCTCATGGTGGAACACGGGACTTCCGTCTTAGCGTGACGTGGTCCAGGGTTTGGGGTGGCTGCGTTCCTCAGTTCGTTCTCATTCCCAAGAAGCCCTCGGCTCCCATTTTTCCTCTCAGGCTTCCTGACCACCCCCTCACGCCCCCTCCCGTGAGGACACTCAGCTGGTCCTCTTGCACGTCTCGGATCAGACTGAGCCCTACTAAAATTGTGTACCAGGTTTGACGTAGGTGCCTCACGATCCAAGCGGAGCTCGCTATTTCCGGGACTTCTAAGTATACAAGTATCTGTGGCTATATAAAAAGACAACACCTTCAGGGTTTGCACTACAGCAGGGAATATTTTTAAGGCTGCTTTGAACCAGGCTAAAAAAAAGAAAAAAGAAAAAAAAATCACTCCGTGGCTCACCTTGAAAAGTATTCAAAGGTGTCTGGGTTCTTTCTTGACAGACCCAAAGCAGCATGGCTGTTTCTGACGCCCATCCCTCTGTGCCCCCACCTAAACATGGGCCTAACACTCAGAGGTAATTTTTAGAGGATTCCCTGAAGCTCAAACACAAACAAGCTGAACCAAGCATACCTTCCTGGGTTGGCCTCTGCCTTCCACCCTCAGGACTGTGTGTGCCAAGTGCTGAAGGTGGACCTTGGTGAAAATTCAACTTCAAGAGAAAACCCCTTCAGACGTGGATGCCGTCATCAGCACTCAGAATAGAGAAGAGTCACCGGGTCAGGACAGTGGGGCTAAGGATGGTCAGGGGACGAATGTGAAGGAAAGAAACAAGAATTCCTTGCCAGCCTTGGCAGCTTTGCTTGGCTGCGCGTGTGACTAAAAACCCCAAGAGAAAAAGGCAACAACAGAGCAGATCCTTCTTTCTGTAGCAGAGAAAACTAGGAGACCCGCTGCAGCTGGGAAAACAGTGACACACGAGTAACACACATGATAAGGATGCACGACACCCCAGCCGCACCATCACTTCCCACTCTGTCTGCCAGAGTTCTCGCAGAATTTGAGAAGAGTACACCAGGTATGGCCAACTCAGTGTTTTGAAAGATGCTCATGGCAAAGGAAGTCGCTACAACCGGACACGTTTGTGGGCCCATTTTTTTTTTTTTCAATCATTTCTCTCTGACACATATATAAGCCGTGGAAGGAATCTTGTGAGCATGGACAATCCGTGAGAGCTGCTTTTCAGCGCATCTTCTCTGCTGTGATTCGTGACCGGAGGGCATTATTTGGGCTAGGTTAGTCTACACGGACTTGCTTTTTCCACACCCTTGTCTGCTTTCTCACTGTGCTATACGCAGTTTTAAAGCGTGTTTGATCTCTTTATTTCATAGACCTACAAAGTGATCTAAGCTCAAAGGTGGACACACACACACACACACACACACACACACACACACACACACACAATAACAGAAAGGTTTTTGTTAGCAGAAACTCCAGTGAAATTGCAGAACCTCCTTTTGCCTCTTGTGGGTACAAAACACATGATGTGGGAACTTGCTGAGCTTGTCTTAAGGTTGCAGGGTCCTAAAGTGTTCAGGGAAGACTCCACCTGGCAGCCAGGGAGTGCCCAGCATCTACACACTGGGCACCACCAGGCAGTGGCACCCCTACCTGCCTCCTTCATATTCTTCTTCTTTTCCTTTCTGTTCCTTCCAGTGCTCTCTTTTACCCACTCCTTTTCCTAGTCCCCAAGTGTCTTTCCTTCCCCCCTTTTCTTCCCACAGTTTACATGGAGATCAGACAGAAACACAGGTTTAAACCACTTTCCAGAATGAACACCTGCCCGCCCATCGCCTCATCCTTCCCATTCCTTGTGGCATCTGAGTTAGTCAGTTCTCCATCACAGTGACAAAGATTTATTCTGGCTCCTGGTTTCAGGGCTTCCATCCCCTGTCATCTGGTCCTTTTGCTTGGGACCAAGGAGAAGCAAAACATCATGGCCATGGAAGCCTGGGGCAAAGGCTGCTCACTTTGTAGTGCCGGAAATATAATAATAATAATAATAATAATAATAATAATAATAATAAAACAGGCAAAAGCTAGGATCTAGTTATTCCCTGCAAAGACATGTCTTCCTCCAGTGACATCTCACCTACCACAGTGCCACCACCTCCACGGGCCTGCTGTCAATGGAGTAAGTCAGGGATGAGGAGGCCAGTTTCCCTGAAAATGCACTCGCAGACAGAGTGGGTGGCATGGAGACGAAGCGCCTCGGTAGGACTTACCCAATCGAGTTGGCCATCAAAATGAGCTATCACACAGTCCAAGCTGGGTTCCAACCTACTTTCTGATGTTCATTGCCCCTCTGCGGCCTTTGAGAGCACAACTACGCAGCACATTCGTTGCCTAGACTGACACGTTTGGATAATAGAAAAAAAAAATGTAGGTAAGGACTGGCAGGGTGGCTTCGTGGGTGCAGGTGCTGGCCAGCAAGCCTGACAGCCTGACTTCCATCTCTAGGACCCACGTGATAGAAGGAGAGAACTGACTCCCAGAAGTCATCCTCTGATCCCCGCGTGTATGCTGTATGTAGCATGCGTACGCCCTACCCAATTTTTAAAAAAAAACTGTTTTAAAAATGCAATAGATTGCCGGGCGGTGGTGGCGCACGCCTTTAATCCCAGCACTCGGGAGGCAGAACCAGGCGGATCTCTGTGAGTTCGAGGCCAGCCTGGGCTACCAAGTGAGTTCCAGGAAAGGCGCAAAGCTACACAGAGAAACCCTGTCTCGAAAAATCAAAAAAAAAAAAAAAATGCAATAGATTGAAACACAAAATAAATTTAAATTCACGAGTATATAGTGTTGCTCAAAACACATTTTTTAAAAAGAGAGAGAGAGCTTTAGGTTAGTGGCTAATGAAGCTGTGAGCAGAAATGACCCCTTCCTGTGTCACCAAAATTGACATTTACGTGTTCTATCACTCTGAGCACACTTCTGTCTTCCATCAGGGAAGTCAGCATTCTAACCTGCCATGATTCCCACACATGAGGAAGGGGGAGGCCTGGGTGCTCACCTGCCATGCCCAGCCTTGGAGGAAGCACTCTCCACGAGAAATATTTTCATTTGATTTGCTTCTAACTTGAAAAGTAGAATAAGATCCCCCCGATAATATGCTGCTAGGTAACACAGCCAACAAAAAAAAAAGCCTAGTAGAAAATTGTGGGGCTGAGGATATTTTGAGGAACTCATCATGCTGGAATCTAGGCAGTAATCAGTTTAAAATGAGAATCTTTTGTACCTTGAGTGTTCCCAGGGAAGAAAATCAAAGATTAAAAGAGAGAGATGTGCTTCGTGTTCCTAATCGCTACACTTTGCATGCCTATTTTGTGTGCTTATCCCATGCATTTACCCATTAATTATGTCAATAATGAAGGAGAAATGAGGCACTTCACTTGGGGCACAGCTGTTTACAGTGATTGCTTTGAGCATGGTATTTTTTTTTCCAGCACCTTTCCCAAAGTGTCTCATCACCAACATGCTCAGTTGATCATTCTTTGCCCTAAATCCCCAAATGGAATCAGTCACCGCCTGGATGCTTCCATTGCAGCTGACTCGGCTTATCTGGAGAGCTGTGGTGTCTGTCCCTGACTCCTTTGGAAGCTGCAATAATGACAAATGCTTGAAAAACCAAAGTCAAGTCGAAGGATTGCTGGGCTTGCCTTTCCTTCCCCGTCATTGTCCAAAGCAAATCTGGGATGAGCATCTCATTCCAAAGCAGCTGTGGATCTTCAGCCTTGTTGGGGATCTCAGTGGTGGGGGTGGGGGTGGGAGGGGACGCTTGATGTTTTCATGCATTTGTGAGCACCCAGGAGGGGAGGAAGAGGTCCAAGTCACACCTCTCCCCTATGGTTCAGCAGCTTGCAGCTCTCAGAGAACGGGGCTGAAGTGTCCAATGAGGTAAGAAAGTGCCCTCCATATAGGTGGAAAGACATTTGGGTTGGATGGAGTGTGTACTCACTGCTGTAGCACAGCCTAAGTGGAGAGGCCACACCCCTGCCCTGGCAATCCTGCCCCCTCACTCTGTCTCTTTCCTGCCACTTTCTCTTGCTTCAGGGAGGTTCAGAGAAAAGGCTTCAATTCTCCACAAGATTGCCAAGAAGAAATGCCAAGTGGATGAGAATGAGAGGCAGAATGGGGCTGCCAACCATGTGGGTGAGTGAGAGATATCCATCCCTTGTCCTTCCCTGGTGGGTAAGCCTGGAGGGTTGGGGGGAGGCGACACAGAAAGACAGAACCCAGTGTGGGCACCCCTGATCCTTCCTAAACAATGAAATGAGCCCCTCTTCTCCACCTGGGACAGGGCAGGAATGGACATGTATGTCACCAATAACACTAAGGGAAGTCCACGGAGGAGGAGTAATTCTAACCGGATCACCAGGTATTCTGTTCAAGAGGTGACAGGCACTTGGCTTCAGAAAGCCAAAAAAAAAAAAAAAAAAAAAAATTAACAAGAAGACTGAAAAAAAGCCAAAAAAAAAAAAAAAAAAAAAAAGACACCCCCAAGTCATTAATGTTTAGTCAGAGGTGGGAGTCCTGCTTCTGTACCCTTAACTGGTGATCAGACTGTCTATCTATGATACTGCTGGCTGCATCCCCCACCCCCACCCCCACCCCCACCCCCAAGCTACCACTCAGTCACCCCAACAGAGTCCTTTTGAATCCATGTCATCTCCTCTTTCTTAAAAATTCAGCAATATCAAGGCTTGGAATTTGGATCAGCGGATAAAGTGCTTGCTGCATAACCGTGAGGACCTAAGTCCAAATCCCCAGAACTCACATAAATGATGGGCGGGAGTAGTGACCCTACCTATAACCTCAGCACTTAGGACAGGGACAGAAGCTAGCCCTGGGGCAAGGTAGCTAGCGAGACTAGGCAAATTAGCAAACTCTGGGTTCCCCCCAAGAAACCCTGCCTCAGTAAATAAAGTGGACGTCAACCTCTGGCCTCCACACACATGTGCACAGATGTACACCACACACACATGCCTGAACACATGTACACATATGCTCCCACCACACACATATACACAGGCCAAAAAAAAAAGTTAGGCAAAATGAGCCTAGGTCTGTCTTGGCTGACTTTTCTAGAACTCCTGTGTGACCAGATTGTGACATTCAGGCATCTTATTTTAACTTGGGGCATCATGTTCCCTTTCTCCTGTCTGTAACTATAATATAGCTCTCAATTCTAAATTCAGACTAAATTTAACCTAATCTGGATCCATGCTGTAAACGAAGCTATTGCCCAAGTGACTAAAATTATCTACAGACAAATCTCAACAGTTTTGCCCTCAAAATACTCCATAGAAGACTTCCTGCCTCTCCTACCATCCTGAATTCTAGCCCAGGCAAAATTTTCAGCCAAGGAACAGACTAGAGTCGACTGAGTATTTATGGAGAAAGTGGACAGGAATGAGTTCAAATGTTGACCAGGATTGGGTTATGAATTGCAGGTTTCTGCCTGATCCCTTCGGCTTCCCTGAACCTGAAAACATTTTTTCAGAATAAGCAGGGTTTTGGTTTTGTGTTGTAAAGCCAATGGGGAAAGCTATTGCCTAGTTAAGCTCTGTGTGTGAGTTTTGGGTTCAATTACAAAGGCTACTTTTCCTACTCCAATTGTTGGTTTTTCTTTTGCGGGATGAAGTAGCTTAGAACAGAAGATTTATGTGGCTGGGTTCATTCCCAGACCTCCTCTTGCAGACTGGTGACTGGAGGCTTAGATTTAATCATCCATGACGTATAACTCCAAGGAACTCCAGGGCTAATGGGGCTAGTGAAGGACATGGTAACCAAAAGGAGTGTGTATGGAAAAATCTAGGCTTTCCAAAGGAACCCCAGGATTTATTTTCATAATTTCTGTGACAATAAAGCCTGTGGTTTAAAAGCACATTTGTGTAAGACGAATTGCTAAACTGTCTTATTAATAAAAAAATAAATAAATAAAATAAAATTTTAAAAAACCAGAGCCAGATATTGAGGTAAAAAACAAGAGATCAGAGGTATAGGACAAGCCACAGCCAAACTCACCTTACCAGCCCTCAGTCTCCAAAGAGACCTACTTCCTGTATACTCACACCTATCTGCCTTTCTGTTCTGCAATCTCACTTCCTTTCTCCGTGCAGTTACATCACTTCCTGTCTATCTGTACAGATCTCCAGACCTCTATGGTTAGTGCTTGGATTAAAGGTATATACCACCATGCCTGGCTCTGTTCTCAATATAGCATTGAACTTACAGAGATCTGGATGGATCTCTGCCTCCTGAATGCTAGGATTAGAAGCATGTGCTACCATTGCCTGACTTCTATGTTTGCTATATTGGCTGACTTTTTCCTCTGATCCTCAGATAAGATTTATTGGGGTACACAGATAAAATATCACCACACACTTGAGTTAGGGGCTGTGCCTGCGAGGTAGGTTCTTACTTGTCTGTGTCTATCCTGGAACATCTAAAACTCCTTCAGATCCTGTGATTCTGCGATCAAGTTTGACCTCAGCAATCTGCTACCGGAGGTGTCTGAGGTCTTTTGTCTCCCCCAGATTCTTACGTTTTAGTTTAAATAACTGAATGAAACATACTGAGATAACCTGGCATGGCTACAGCCAGCAGAGACACTATGAATCATGGGTGGATTAGGGAAACCCGAGTTCCTACACTTTCCATATCATCATCTGTGCCTCAGGACACCACAATTGAATTCATGAGCATTTCCCTAGGATTTCCAGTATTTGACTGCTTCAAACAGAATTTTTACAGAATTCTCTTTGTCAGGGCCATTATAGGGTCTCACTACATAACCCAGGCTGGCCTTGAACTTGTAGCAACCCTCCTACATCCACCTACCAAGTGTTGAGATTTTAGGCATGGACCACTATGCTCAGCCCCACATAACTCTCTATTTTCTTATGCACTGATGACAGAAATATTTGGTCCTTCTGAAATTGCTAGAGGAAAAAAAAAACCACTTCCAATCCTCTCTGAGCATCCTGAGATTGCTCACATCTGGCACAGCTGGGCAGACTGCTGTCCAGCAGCCCTGACTCCTGTCTCGGCACCACACAAGCCTTGGCTCCTGATGCTGAACAGAGTTGGTGCCAATGCCTTCCTTTTTCTTTCTTTATTTAAAAGATTTGTATTCATTTTGTGTGTCTACATGTGCCCCGCATACACACACACACGTGCCCATGGAGGCCAGAGTAGGGAGAGTGTTGGACCGCTTAGAGCTGTAGTTAATGTCAATTGTGATTTCCACCCCCACCCCCACCCCCAATATAGGTGCAGGGAACCGAACCCAGTTCTCTGAAAGAGCAGTAAGCGCTCTTAACTGCTGAGCCATCTCTCCAGCCTCAATGAAAGACTTTATCTTTCACTCCCACTTAAGTTCCAGTTGAACCCAGTGGGGCCTGAACACTAGTCACCTGGAGGTGCTTCTCTTAGCCCTGGAAAAAAATATCTTGCAAAAGGCAATTGCAGTGACAGAGATTCAGAGCATCCATTTCTGGCTTGTCGGCTCTGCCGGGGATCTGTTCCGAGTGCTTTACGTGCACTTTTCGACCTCTCTGCAGAAGGGGCAGTGGGAGCAGCAGTAGTAGTGACGGTAGAAGTGGCACTGTTAGCAGCACTCAGGTTCTGTAGGTGAGGAAACCAGACGCCACAGAGGTTGAGGCATTTGCTGAGGGTCACACGGCATAAGCTATCGAGTGAGTGGAAACACAGGCCCATTTGATTCCTAGTGTTACAGAGGCCCAGGGCCCAACCAAGGCCCTTGAGCCTCTTCTGCTCTCTCAGGAAAACATGACTATACTTGCTGATCTACTCTCTCTCTCTCTCTCTCTCTCTCTCTCTCTC